CGTTAATATTTAACGGAGAAACTGATGTGATAGTTAACATATTTGATATAATTCAACATTTGATCATTGTTACTTATATATTCTATCAATTTGATCCTAATTTTAATAAATTAAAATGAATTTAACCCTCATATCAAATGTCATCTTCCGAAATTTGGTCGGTACCACATCATAAATTAAAAATGACCACCATAATAATAACATCACTAAAAAAACCACATTCAACCCAAATTATAATACATATAATAATTAATGTTTTCCAACAACAATATTTTGCTCTAGATTATTACTTCATTTATATCATTTTGATATTTCATTTATTCGTTTAATTGATTTACACATTTTCAAACTTAATTTAATATTTTTAAATTTACTTTAATTCAATTGAAATTACTGTAATGAAAAAATGTCCAGAGATATGCTTGCAAAGTTTCATGATTCCTACAAATATAACTAATTCATGTTATAGTTCCTATTAATTGTTTTATGGCTTAAATATACAAAAGGTGTCTAATATATACGTTCAGTGTCTAACATTTTTTTCATTTCAATTTAGTGTCTAACGTTTTATTTTGTAACTTAAAATGAGTCACGACGTAACGGACCGTTAAGTTTAACCGTTAACTCATTAAAAATGCCACGTAACATATTTTTTAATATTAAAAAAAATTTACAAATAAAAAATAAACATTTTAATTGGGGGAACCAATTACCCAGGCTAAGCAGAATCCCCTCTCCCCCGACCCAAAAGCTCTTCGCCCTTCACCCTCCGATCAGGCATCTCTGACCGTTGTGGAAGTGCCCCGTCACCGCTAACGGCCTCAACAACGACTGGCGACTCAATCCCGGCACTCCAATCGCCTCATTTGGCCGTCTTCATTGCAAGTAGAGCTTTCGGCTGCCAATCGTCGATCCGCCCGTCCGGTTGCCGTTGAAGTACATCGCCCACCCTGGTCAAACCGCAGTCTGGCTCTGATAGCAACCCAGCCATGATAATATATTCTTCTTAGATGAGGCACACAGTAGCAACCCTGGTGAGTTGTGAGATTGAATCAGCTGGACTGGAAATAACTGCGTCTTCACGAGGAACTTTGTTTCTTCCTTCCACAATCACTGAAGAAATGTTCAGTTTAGAACTGCCTTCACGATATCCCGGTGGATTACTTGCTTCAAACCCGATATCAATTACCGTTGACAACACCCTTAGTCCCTCCCACACACTTATTCAGGTCCTCTGCCAGGACCACAAAGGTCTAATATATGATACCATGAGAACCCTAAAGGACTATAATATCCAGGTACATATCTGAAACTACTAACTATTGTTATTCAAAATTGTACTTTGAATCTGTTACTTGGGTTTGGGTGTGAGTGTTGGGTACGGTATTGTGTCCCGATACAAGTATGCTTGATTTTTTTCTGAGTTTTTCCTTACATTTGAAGGGTTTTTTCCTCACACCCATGTTTGAATACGTGTCTGGCACAAGTATTGTAAGTAAAATGAAGAGTCGATCAACATAGCTTTGAATTTGCTTGTAATTGGTAAATCTAAAGGAAACCTTCAATCTTGATGGTTTTATGCTTTAAAGATTGCATGAAATTACCTTCTGGAAGTGTTGAATATCCATAAAGAGTTGTTCATTATTGCAAATGGTTGCAAAACCACGTGGCTTGGTTTCTCTCCTTGATTACTTGATTTCTCGTATAAAAATTAACATTTCCTATCAGGTTTCCTATGGAAGATTCTTTACGAACCGAAAAGGTGGGTTGCTATCGGAGCGAGGATGCGGTTTGACCAGGCCGGGAGGTTTACTTCAACGGGACCAGACGGGCGGATCGACGATTGGCACGAAAGCTCTCCTTGCTATGAAGTCGCGACGATGGCTAAATCAGGCGATTGGAGTGTCGAGGTTGGGTCGTCAATCGTTGCTGAGGTTGTTAGCGGCAACGGGACACTTCCACGGCAGTCGGAAATTCCTGATCGGAGGGCGGAAGGCGAAGAGCTTTTGGGTCGGGGGAGAAGGATTCTGGTTAGCCTGGGGAATTGGTTCCCCCATTAAAATGTTTATTTTTTATTTAAAATTTTATTTTTTATTTGAAAAAATTATTTTTTAATATTAAAAAATATGTCATGTGACATTTTTAATGGGTTAACAGTCCACGACGTGACCCATTTTGAATTACGGAATAAAACGTTAGACACCAAACTAAAACGAAAAAAATATTAGACAGTGAATTAGAAAAGCATATATAGATTAGACACCTTTTGTGTGTTTAAGCCTTATTTTATAATATTTTGAATAAATTTATTGAAACAATTTTAAATTATAAAATTAATATAATTAGGCACACAAATGAAATCAAAGAAGTTTACACGCTGATGGCAAGTTTCAGTGACAAATGCCCCTATTTAATTTGACAATTACGTTTTTTTTAAGGAACGATTTTGTATATTTTATTACATATTCATACAAAAATGAAAGCATCAATTATGAGTCTCATTAAAAAATCTCTTCAAATCCTAAATAGAAGGGGAAAAGTGATATTAAAACACTAATCGACATTATCAACCGAAGCACGATACAACCCCAAACAAACCACCTCCTCAAGAACCATGCGATTGCACCAGGAAAAACAAAGATAAAGATGAAGCTGCATGATGGCTTAAATGAAATCATTTGCTGCATTGAAAATGTTATGTCAACACCTAACATTGAAAACGAACACCGCTGCAATATAGAAAAACAAACCACCCATTCCAGAATCACTAAGTCGGCCTAGGAACAGACACTTAACTAAACTCACCGATCACCATACGAAACAAGCATGAATCAATACCCACAACCAGACCGTAAAACCCAATTGGAAAACAGACCACGATTAGAAAATAAATATAAGTCTTTGACCAATTCCTCCTCCCAAAAACACGAGTAAGTTTATTTTAATTTATTAAATTATGATCAAATTGATAAAATATATAAGTAACAGTGACCAAATGAGTAATTATATCACTGTTAAATATTAACAAGTGGCTTAATTGAATGTACTTAAATAATTTAGTGACATGATTGACAAAATTTCAAAAATGATGGTCAAAATGAAAAGGGCAATAGTTAGGTGATCATTGGTATAGTTTACCCTTTATTTTAAATATTTTACCTTTAAAATCTTAACTAATTTATAATTATATGAGCTAGGAATGACAAACGAGTATAATTTCGTAGATTTCGCACCATATCCGTTCCAATTGGGGCGGGATGGATAAAAGTGTAGTGGGTATTGAGCGGGTGTGGATGTAAAAAGTCATACCCGCTGTGAGTAGGCGATGGGTTTGAGACCTTATCTACCATGCCCTCACCGCATCCACCTGTCTCACATCCACTCATCTCACATCCACCCATCTCACATCTACCCGCCCACTAACTACCCACTATATAAATTTTGGACTACTATGAATTTAGATAAAATTTTAGAGACTATTCTATAAATCTCAAGATTTTATTGGACATAATTTATAATTTAATTAAATGTTAAGGTACAAACATTCTTAGAATTAAATACTATTGTTTTTCTTATCTCAAATTGGTGGGTACATACGGACACAATATGGATGGTAGGTATCCAATTAGGTGGAGGATGTGAAGATGAATTTGAGAATATATCCACGTGGGCGGGTGTAGATTTAAATATTTTACCCATCGTTGGCGGTAGGTAGGTGGTGGATGCAAAAATATTAAGTGGGTATGGGGATGAGGAAAGGGGTATACGCACATTCCTCGCCCGTTTACCATTCCTACATTGAGCCCTTTATAATTTTAAATTTTTATAAATTAAATTAATAGTAATCATTGTTAGTGATGCTAATCGATATTCGTTAAGTGTTATAGAATTTTTTTAGATTTTTTTTATCAAGAATTAAAAAAATAAATTTTAGATAAGAAATTAATTCTTTGACCAATAATATTTGAATAAAAACACCAAACAACCGGCGTGAAAATTAAAAAAACTTACCCATGTAAATTTTATATAACGTGGGCTACCATACTTGTAACTCATCCTCAATAGTTGTCCTTATCTATAATCCTCTGCTTTTCAACATCCCTTTACTTAACCCAGCAAAGTTCATTTCAACAGATCCCCTTTTCTTCTTCTTCTTTTCCTCTTGATTCCATTTCCCCTGACTGCAAACACAGAAATTCGGAAACAACAATTGAGGATCCATTGTGCAGTGTGAAGATGAGAAGAGGACTCAAAGCCAATGAACTGTTGCCTTTCACAGTACAGTTCCTGAGAGGACGATGGTTCGCACTTTTTGCATCGTTCCTAATCATGGCTGGTGCTGGTGCAACATATCTATTTGGAACCTACTCCAAGGAGATCAAAGCCACTCTGAATTATGACCAGACGACGCTCAATCTCTTAGGCTTCTCAAAGGATTTGGGTGCCAGGGGTTATCTATCAATTTGATAGATTATATAAACAATAAAGATTAAATATATAATTATAAAAATCTTATTAATTATTACGTGTTGATAGATTATAATAACAAGTGATTTGATTAAATGAATAGGATGAGTAATAAAATGAAATATCAAAATATCTCACCTTCTAAAAAAACGAGATTAAATTTTATGTTTTAATATAAATGAATTTCATGTATTTATTATTGTTTTTATCTAAAATAAATGATTTTATCTAAAAAAAATTGATGGGTTTCGTACTTTATAAAAAATAAGGTCCATTAAACATATTTCATAAGACGCACGATAGTCTTACGTTAGTTGTTTAAGATATTTTTCTAACTAATCTAACACGGACACTATTTAAAAAAAAATCAAACATGGGCTTTTTAATATAATAACGCCCAATTAGTGGTGGTTCAATTTCACAACAAAATGAAATGACGTACAGATCACGAGCTGTCATTAGTCAAACACACCAGTGAATCACAGAATCTTGCACAAAAAGGGGGGATATCAAAAGCAGGGAGAAAGGGCTGGTAATCCCAACAAAATATGGGTGAGCACATGGACAAAACGATTAAAGCCATTAATATCGCTAGTCACTGAGCACATTTGGTATGGTTTCCAAAGCCATATGAAAGTTCTAAAATTACATTTAAAATTGAACCAAAGAAAAAAGGCACATTTAAATTATGCGGAAGGAAGCTGTAAACCATGTTTCATCTAACCAACACTCTCGGCATTTTCTCTGAACTTTTTGTATATATCGCTTTTGTAATACTTCCGGGTTCTGGCCACTAAAATGAGAGAACTCAATGCTCCAAAGAACGTAATAAAAGCCAGAATTATAAACGACAACCTGTAACAATGAGTGCCCATACAGGTCAATTCTTTCACAGAGGCTCGTGTTAGACCCCTTTGTGCAAGATCCTTCATCGCCTCTCTATCGTATAAAAATCCAGTAAGTTTCACATTGAATATGTATGAGCCGAGAGGACTAGCCAACTGCCCACAATTGAACAGTGTAGAGAAGTACTTTAGGCCGAAAAGTTCGGAAATGATGGCGAAAATCAAGGGCAACTGCGCACCAAATGAGAATCCAATAATGATGGATGCTACATAGAGTGAACCCGGGACTGGAAATGCAACCAGTAGGTACCCAATGCATGCGAATAGAAGGACCATCGTCATCATCAATGGTCTCGGAAGCTTGTACTTAACGATCAATGTCTCAGACACGAACCCAGAAAACACCCTTCCGAAGAAATTCCAGATGCTGACGAGTGAAACAAATGAAGTGACTGTTTTGTTCGGATAGCCGAGAGACTCGCCGATTTGCCCCAAGTTGTCGACCGCGGTCAAACTCGATCCGAGTCCACAGAATGTAGAAAGAAACAATACCAGCATGTCAACACTCGTCAGTGCTTGCAAAATTGTGTAGTCCTCTCCTCTCTCGGGCTTATCCAAAATGGTTAGAAAGCAAGACTTTTCTACCGTTTCATCGCCCTGTTTTGGCTTTGATTCAACAGTTATCTGGGTCGGAGGATTAATTGGTTGTTTCTGGATATTCCAAACTAGTAATTCTTCTCTAATGGAGATAAAAAGAGGAACAAAGACAAGGAAACAAACCACCGTGACAGCGCCAGCCGATGCAGCTCTCGAGAAATTAACAAGCTTCTCTGTTAAGGTTATCGCCATGAGAACAATCGCTAGCACAATTGAGGCACCGAGGAACTGGTAAAACACGTTCATCTCATTAGGGTGTCTAACAGGCTTAAGTGTCCGAATTGTATACACAAATATGACCGAAATCGCAGCCGGAAGCCATCCGATAAGAAGGATGAGAGATTTCGAATCATTCCCGTAAACAGCCAAGTAAATTTGTGTCATTACAGCTCCACTGAGTCCAGTATATCCCTTCAACAGACCCAACATTGATCCCCTGCTCTCAGGGAAGTTCTTTACACTAGTGACGAGAGCTCCAGTATTTGCAAAATTCTGGGAATTGGCTCCTATACAAATGTAAATACACATTTGCCAAACCTTGGGTTTGGCTATTCTGCCGGTCACGGCTAACCAAATCATGAAATAGCCGCCGAAGTTGAAAGCAGCGCCGAGTAGGAGCACGAACCAAGTGGGAGTTACCTCGGCAATAAGGCCGGAAATGACCCCAACGTTGGCACCCAGATCCTTTGAGAAGCCTAAGAGATTGAGCGTCGTCTGGTCATAATTCAGAGTGGCTTTGATCTCCTTGGAGTAGGTTCCAAATAGATATGTTGCACCAGCACCAGCCATGATTAGGAACGATGCAAAAAGTGCGAACCATCGTCCTCTCAGGAACTGTACTGTGAAAGGCAACAGTTCATTGGCTTTGAGTCCTCTTCTCATCTTCACACTGCACAATGGATCCTCAATTGTTGTTTCCGAATTTCTGTGTTTGCAGTCAGGGGAAATGGAATCAAGAGGAAAAGAAGAAGAAGAAAAGGGGATCTGTTGAAATGAACTTTGCTGGGTTAAGTAAAGGGATGTTGAAAAGCAGAGGATTATAGATAAGGACAACTATTGAGGATGAGTTACAAGTATGGTAGCCCACGTTATATAAAATTTACATGGGTAAGTTTTTTAATTTTTCACGCCGGTTGTTTGGTGTTTTTATTCAAATATTATTGGTCAAAGAATTAATTTCTTATTTAAATTTTTTTTTTAATTCTTGATTAAAAAAATTTAAAAAATTCTACAACACTTAAATTTTTTTTTTAAAAATTTTGTTGAGTCCTCCGACTATTAAAAGTTATAAAATGATCCCTCCACTATAGGGTGATGTTTTGTTGAGTCCTCCAACTATTACAAGTTACAAAATGGTCACCCAACTATTCATATGTTCTAAACACACCATTTTTCGTTATAAATTGGAGATTGTCTGAGCTGGATATTAATCTTTTGACTATGATATGATAAAATCTTATCCAAAAACGTTTGAGCTGTATTTTGTGGACCAACTCTCCGTTTGCATTATTACGTGGAGCCAGTTCTTGAAACATTTACGTTGTCGAGCCAGTGCTTTAAAGCAAAGGCAGTGCTAGTAGACATCTTTAAAATATGATTTTATCATATCATTGTCAACAAATTAACCTCAAGCTCAAACGATTGTTAGTTTTTTAACGAAAAATGACGAGCTTGGAACATATGAACAGTCAAGTGACCATTTTGTAATTTTTTATAGTTAAAGGACTCAAAAAAATTCATATAGTCGGGAGATAATTTTATAACTTTTAACAATCAAGTAACTTAACGAAATAGTACCATGTAGTCGAAAGACCATTTGTGTACTTTAAATAAAACGATATTATTTTAGGTAGGGGTGTTCATTATCGGATATTATCCGATCCGAATTTTCGGATATCCGAAAATTTCGGATACCTAAAGTAATGATCCGTATCCGATCCAAAAAATTCGGATATCCAAAATTTCGGATCAGATATCCGGATCCGAATCCGAATCCGATTTTTTTTTTTTTGCAAAAAATTCAAAAAAATCAACATAATAAAAACATTAATCAACATAAAATTAAAATTTTAAGTACTAAACTGATAATTTAGATATTAAGCGCGTAAATTATCCCATTATTATTCACAATCTTATACGAAAATACCCTACGCATCCAAATGGTATGGCTAGTACGAAGTTAACACTGCGGTCTTAAAAACTCGCTGTAAATCTTAGTCTACAGTTGATGCATAAATGAAGGAAGCGACACTTGATCAGGGAATTCACGTCGAGGGGTGTATAATACCAGTTTTCTCACCAGACAATGCCAGTAATACAATACTATTCCTTAATAAACGATGCTAAAATTTTACTCATCTATTCAACAATTAGATAGGGGAAAAGAACATTAGACCAAAACAATCATATGAACAAAGTTGATGATAAAAGCATCATAAGATGGAGAAACAAATGAGTTAGTACAGATTGATTTCAAAACTTTGAAATTTAAAAGTCTATAGTGTAATCATTAAGGACATTTATTTCTTCTCTATATGTGTAAGAGGTTGCTTAACTATAATAATAAATGCCCCCAACAGCTAGTTTTGAAAATTATGTTGGGGAAGACACCATCATTGTCTCCTGCAGTAAATATGAACATTTTTTTTTATGTTGTAAGAGTTAGCCTCTTATTTTCAAAATATAAAAACCCAGACGTTCTATTTACAGATGAATCAAACCATGAATCAGTTGTTGAAGGCAGAATAATCAGCAATGATATTGTTGGGCGAGAAGTAAGAGGAAATGGCAGAGCAAGCCCAAACAGCTCTGGGCTAATAATATAGCCCAATTTTTTTTTGGGTTTTCGGATAATCCGAAATTGGATTTTGACCGATCCGTATCCGATCCGAAAATCCGAAAAAAATTTCGGATACCCGATCCGAACTATCCGAAAATTGAAAAACGGATCGAATATCCGAATTTTCGGATCGGATCAACGGATCGGATCGGTCCGATCGGATTTTTTTGCACACCCTTAATTTTAGGGTGATTGTTTTGGTTAACAAGATATGTTTTGTGTCTCTGTCTAAAGTTTTTAAGTAGTACGGTTACGTTTTGGTGTTAATGGTGCTACCTCGTTTTGACCTTATTATGTCATTGTTTTCTGCAATGAGCTAAAACCACAAAATGGTCAGGGTTTGTTTCATCGAACGATTGAATGAAAAGTGTTCTTCTAAGTTTCTTCCTCCAATGTCGATTTCTGACTCCTCCAATCTATTCTTCCTTTAATTCTTGTTTGTGGTTGTATCATACTACAAATAAATGTCAGTAAATTACTTGAATTTATTTTAAAACATAATTTATGTTTTTGCAATGGAAAGGGGGAGAATTAAAACTGGTGTACCTGCTCCGTATACTTCTACTATCGAGAACTAAAATTGTTGTACCATCTTTGCATATTCTACTATCACTTATTGGTGTGAGGAGCTTCAAGGTATCTGGAGTGTTTTTTTATGATACGGTTGAATTCATTTAGTGGTAATCTTAATATTATTTTCATTTGATTATACTCTCTTGACAAGACTTTCGTCAATTTCATCACCAGCTAAATGTAATATTAATCTATCCACTTGCTAACCCATCAATAGCTATCAACCTTAGAATTGATACTAGTCACCCTACTACATGATGTTTGGGACATATATACTCACACAAGGAAGATTGAAGGGGAAGATCTTTATCCCCACACTTATTGTTCATCATCTTTTCCATTTTTTTTTCTCATTTTTTTAGATCACCGCCTGGAGTTCTCTGCTCAATCCTAAGAGTGTATAAAATTGAAGTTCGAAAAAATAAAATTAAGTTTTGATCACCTATGATAATTAATTATAACTTGGAGTTATTCAATTAACTGAAAATAAGATCATCAATATAAACATCGATGTACTATGGATGCATACTCAACATCATGAAGAGTATGTATATCTCTCATCATGCAAAGGTTTGAACCTATAAACAATTCGACAAAATATAACATGAAAAATTATAATGATATTAAAAAAAAAATTATAATCCATTGTGAACATCAAAATCAACATCGATATTTTTATTGTTTTCCTAAATTTTAAATGTGACCTTCTCACATGTATTCTTAATTTCACATATCAAAAACCTTGCTATTGAATAAACAAAACAAAAAAATTATAATTTCAGTTTTTAACATGTTTGATGCAATTAGTATCTCCATATGGTTGATGTAGTCTTTCTTAAAGTTAATTTCATTGCTTTCCTTTGGTAATTGCTTAGATGCTACTGAAATTAGCTTAAAGGCTGAAGGAGTTTGAGCTATACTTGGTCTTCTAAGCTGCAAAATGGACAATACTCATTAACAACAAATAAAAGATATGGCAATATATGAAGTTCATAATTTATTTTCTTATATTAAATATTTGCATCTCAAATGTCTTGTTTGTGTTCGGTCTCATCCCTTCTATAATTTCCATTCCTCTTGATTCAATAGTTAATTGTTTCATTGGTTGTTGATTGGCCTTAGCTGTTGATATAATGACTAAACTTGTCTTGATTTGACTTACACTAGTTATTACTGCAGTGACTGTAGAATGAACTACTTTAATTATTCGATTAAAAGCCTACAAAAAATGCTTAGTTAAAAGAATTCTAATCAAATAATCGAAATTAAGGAACTGTAAATTTTCATAGCTTACGTTAAGTTGTGAAGATGTTCTCACTGAAAGTGTTGCATTAGAAACATTTCTTTGAGCAGGCAGAGATGTTACCCAAGTTACTTGAGATGGAACTTACAAGCTATCCTGATTCAACTATTATATAATAAAAAATTAATAATATTAATTTCTAAATATATATTAGTTAAAAAAATAACAATTCTTGAGATGTTCTCACACGCACAACAAGGGTGGACATGGAAAACCAATTAGATCCTAAGATCCACAAGTGCATTTTCAACCTCTTATATCAATAACAAATATATTTCCTTTCCAAAATATTTCATATCCATCTGCCTCTTTCATCAAATGACAATAAGCACTAGATGTTTTATGCTTTTCTAGTTTTTTTAAAAATTCCAAGGCACGACTTAGTTTTCTAATTTTAACTTTTTTGTTACACACTTAAAGTCACCTTTAAGAAAACACCCATCTAAAAACAAAATTGGTCTACAATAAGTCCGAAAGGCTTCTTTCAAAGTACTGAAACATGCATATAACTTTCTAAATTTGGAAATTTCAGGAGTCTCTCAATCTTAAACTCAAAACTATCCGATGGATCTGTATCCCTCAAAGCTCCAACATAATCATATAACCTTGCAAACTCATGCCCAAGTATGTCCGTTATCTAGTCTAAACACCAAGATTTAGCTTTCTAACATATGTATTTGCTTACTTCTACCTTAAGTTCTTCCTTTGCTGATCTTTGTATCTCAACTAGTTTTAACTTAAGGACTGCCCTAATTTTGCTAAGGAAATTTTCCCCACTAACAAGTAATTTGCTTTTTTGTTCTTAAATGTTATGGAACACTCGTGCTTAGAAATAAAGGTCTTTATTTTGAAACACCCATCAGCCCTATCATAAGAAGTATAAACTCTGAAAGGACAACATGTGACCTTACATCCAGCTCTAGTTCTTTTTACTTTTATTTTTTAAAAATTTAAAATCAAATCTATGAACAACGACATATGCATATAAAGCTTCTTTAAAGTGTTATGGACTCTCAAATATCATCCTCACTTCAAATTTGAGTTCAACACTAGATGCATCAAAGAAGCTCTTACTATTTTTCTTAGGCAAAATCTCACCATCAAAATCACTACAACATCTTCACTTATCAATTTCTTCTCCATCACCTTCACTGTCTACAACATCTTCATTTATTACCGTAAGAAAACCTTTAAATATGGTTCTAAGTCTTCATCTCCTACAGCTCTACTTTTTCTTCTTTGTTTAAATTTTTCCTTGATCTCTAAGTGTAATGATCTCCTCCTTATC